GCAGCATCATAAGTGATTCAAGGAGTTTGTTAAACTAATTGTAAACCTGAAAAAAGTCTATATTCCTATTTGATAACGCTTGCTAATAGCCAGCGAAATAAAAAAAAATTGTTCCTTTCTAAAGGTTCTTTTTTAAAGTTAAATGTACAGATCTCTCAAACAACAGGTTTTCGGATCTTCGCATTAACCCTAAAATGACCGAGAGCAAAAAATCACTTTTCACTTTTCTAAAAGACTATTCACTTACAATATCACTAATTTCACCAATTAGATTTCTGTTTAATTTACTTAGTTTTTTCCATTCATCCGTACGTAAATCAATTGCTGCCATTCACGATTTAATCAGAGGGTACAAATTAAAAAGCATAAGACGTTTTTTAACATTAATTTGTTATTTAAACTTGAGCTTTGGAACATTGTGCAATTTTTTGGAAAATCTATTGAAAATTTTTCAAAAACGCAGAATTTGAAGGCTGAAAGGATCTGAGCAGTCGAATTTTGCAACCCCATCTGCAACCACTGTGAGTAGCTTAACAAAATGAAGTCAGAAAGTCAAGAACTTCAAAAAACTTTTCAATTCTTAGTTTTGAATATATATTGAAAAACAAAAAAACTTTGTATCTCCAAAACAAAAAGGAGTTTGAGCAATCATACGTATGGAGTCCATATCTGCAACTGCGAAGATAAACTTGACATCATTGACACCATCCCGCTAAAGGGTCAAAAAACTCAAAATTTGGAAAAAAACTAATTCGATCTAACTTTTTTCAAAGATTTGATAACTGATAAAAACGCCATATCGCGGTAACTAAAAGGTAAAGAGCAGCCATGTTTGAAGGCCAGATTTTATTACTTTTTTGAATTTTTTTATATCATAAAAAACGTAAAATCTCGGAAAGTAAGAGAATTTCAGGGGTCATATTTGGAGACAACAGTACCCTCAACTATAACGTGTGGGAATTTCATATTTTGCGGTTCTTAAAAAGTTCTTAAGTTTACAGAAAAATTCAATAAAAATGGAAAAAATCGTCACATCTCAAAAACAAAAAGAATTTGGGTATTCATATTTGGAGGTCACTTACTCCTCAATCAGACTGAAGTTTGATTTCTGTGTGCATCAAGCACGTAAACATTCAAAAGAGTGGGCGAGAGAACAGAACATTGGGGACGTCTGTACGTACGATTCTGAAAGAAAACAAGGCGCCCCTAAACTGCGTTTTGGCTAGCCTGCCGCTCAGATAGCCTGCGAGCCAATTACTTGGCGATGGCAGATTATGTCAAATGATTTCCATGAATATAACGTGGCCAGCAGAGTTCTTTCAGGTGGTGGTTTTTAACTAAAATCGTTGCTGATAAAAAAATTCAGTGTTTTTCTTGGTATTTCTGTTGTTTTTTCTATTTCTAGTCGGAGTTTTGTGTATTGAGCGATAAAAGCGTTAAATAATTAGTTGCTACTGACAGCTTCTTACCATTAGAAGAGATTGCATGAGATCCTGCTACGAAGCGAAGCTTTTTCCAAAACTTACTGGACGGCGTCTGGTGGATAAACGACCTGAGGAACTCGTCATTCCTTCTCCTTTTTCTTTAGCTGTTTTTCCATCAAATCTTGGTTTAGCTTATCAAAAAAGAGGTTGAGGGGTTTGCTAGTCTGATTTTATCACTCTCTTGAACTAGTTTTTTTTTTAGTTTCGGCTGTTACGGCAGTTGTACAAAAACGGAAGCGGCCTGCTGAAGTATAGCGCCAGACACCTCTTATTCTACGTTGGAGGGAAATTATTTGTAAAAATCTATGAACCGATTGCAATACTCTGATCGCAATGGTAACCACATGACTTTGATCATTGTTTTGTGGATCAGATTTTTCTGTAGGTAGCAAAAAAACTTTCAAAAATGTATTTGAAAAACTTGCTTAGAACATACTTCACCAACTTTATCGTACCGCGTGTTTGATATCTGTGATTTCAATTTAAGAAAACTGTGGCCTCACTTCTCGTTGTAAAAACGTCCTGTCAATTTATTTATCTAGCACGATTCTACTGGTTTTTAAAAAAAAAAAATAACTTGCACGAAGTATCAATTCACAGGAAAAACGTTGAAACTAATATATTTTCTAATGCATAATAATAAATCAGTTGCCCTGACAGTTACATTGTTAGTTAATTTGAGTAGCATATCCAAAAACTTCTGTGGCGGCAAAAGTTCAACAATTTCAGGATACTTTCAACACAGAGACGAAGCGTAGCTTCGCACCACTTGTGATACCACACAAACATAAGTCGAAGAAAATAAACTAGGAGACCTGAAATTTTTGTATGTCTAAAAACAACTAGGGTTCCAGCTAAAGCTGGAGGTACGAGCTTGATATTGAATGAATTTGTTACACTGATGCGGCACAATAAATGTGATTCAAAAATTGACTTTGCCCAAAATCTTTCTTGTATCAGAAAGAAGATAAATTTTGAGACAATCAATATTCCCATGGAGATAACATTTCTCACACAAAATATTAGGGAGTCACCGCTTCTGCGCTAACAATTATCGCAACCGGTTTTTTAAATTCATAACTTATTGCTGCAAATCCATAACTTATTGCTGCGAAAAGCAGCTTGTGACACCTTAAGCTGAAAAGATTCTCCAAGCCAGGTTTGTCGATTGAACTCAATGACAAGATAATTTTCGCGTAAAGTCAAATAATTTCCAAACAACTGTCGATGTTTCAAAACGTCGACTTGTCTAAGGTCATAACTTTTCTCTTACACAAACCGGGCAAAGCCCATCAAAAATGTTGACTTTGTACATGTTGTTTCGATTAAACCTATGACATCAGATTTGACAGGATAGTTAGCAAAAAAAGTCCAATAACAGTCAACAAATCAAAAATTGGATATTTCCAGGCATCATAGCTTTATGTGTGAAAAAGCGCAAAACGGCTTATGCCGAAAGAATGCACGCAACCTGTAACTTCGATTGAACCCAAAACTTCAAAATTGTGAGTGTAGTTTTCAAACAAAACAAAAACTGAAAAACGGTCAAAAAATCAAGACTTCCGAGGGCCATAAATAACTCTTGTATCAGAAAAATTTGGCGTAGCCACGTACGCAAAAGAGCTTCCAACAACATGTTTTTTTGAATTGTACCCATAATCTAAGATAAGACAGGGAAGATTCAAAAAGTTTAACGAGGTCGAAAAACCAAAAATTGGACTATTCCGAGGGCCATAACTTTATGTGTAAAAAAATTGGCCGTGGCCGCATATGCCGGGAGCTTTTCAACGCCGTTCTATCCATTGAAACCAAAAACTCAGTTTTGAGGCAAGTAGTTTTCGAAATAACGAACAATCAAAAATATGGGTCAAATATTCCCCCACAAAAATATGGGTCAAATACTTCCCCACAGACTTTTTCGATAACTGTAGACAGAGTGGTCAATTAAAAAGACTCTAGAGGATTATGCAGGCTCACAGTGGAGTGAGCAGTCTTTCACTTGTTAGCCTCTGAGAAAATTTCTGAGAAAAACTAAAAAAATTCAAAGATTTTGGAAACAATTTTCCATAACGAAAAAAAAGAAAAAATTTCAACAAAACAATTGGTAAACAAAAAACCATCATGAAAAATGAGGGAGGGAGTGTTAAAACTGTTTCCCTTGACACAGCCAAAAATTAGGTCATTAAGCCGATAAAAAACAGGCCGAGGAATTTTTCAGCGAAACAAAAAACTAAGAAGCAAATACGAAGTCAAGGTAAGTACAATTACATTTTGTAGGAGTAAATCAAACACTAAAAGCATCATTGAAAAAAAAAAGCACACAGCAAAAAAAAAACAATTCCAAGATGTGAAAAATAAGCCGACACCAGATAAGCATACAAGTAATTGGCCGAAAATTTTATTTGAAACAATACTTCCCATTAAAAAACAGATCCTGATTCAAACCCAGAACCTTTGCCGTCCAAGGCATATTCGTTACCTCCAAGCTCAGTTTACTGGGATCGCAAAAGTTTGAAATCATTATGAAACAAGATACAAGTGAGTCTGTTAAACAAGTTGTTAACCCGAAAAAAGTCTATATTCCAGTTTGATAACACTTGCGAATCGCAAGCGTAATAAATCATTTATAGGTATTTCCAATTAGTATAACTGTTATATGGTTTCACTAATTTTAACGTTGATTTGACTGACGTTTACCTTGGACCATCGCCATTTTTTTAGAACATAATTCGAAACACAAAGATGAAGCGGAGCTTCGCAACACTTGCGATGTAACAAAGAATTGCATAAAAAATATAGTAAATACAGAAGGAAGTCGAAAAATTGGGTCAACCTCCGTTAAAACCCGAAAACATAACAATGGACAGCCAAAAGCATGAAAAACTATTTCAACCTCGAGACTACGCAATACAACCCTATTAAAAACCAATTAAATGAACAGAAAACGAAAAACAAAAAAATATTCAAAATCAGAGTTGGTAAATTTGAACATAACCACTAGACAGTTGGAAAAGAGTCTATGAGCGCAAGTAAACAGAAAAAAATACTGACTCAGAAAAATATCAACTTTCGAAATGCGACGAAAAAGGGCCTCGAAGCTATTTGAATTTCTTGAACAATTTATGATTGACATCTAAATATTAGATTATATCACTGAAAAGTGAAAAAAGCGGAAAATGAGCCGAGAGAGATTACGACAAAACCCACAAAGCCGGAAACAATTTCAAAGTTTTTCATCAATTATAATTGAAAATTTATTAACTACATAAAATGAAATTAAAAAAATTTTCAAGCAAAGGAGCGCTTCAGTAAATGCACGTAGTATTTCTTATAGATTTATAAGAAAAGCTGTTCACGCGATAACATTCTAATTCCCGATTACAAAAAACAATTGCTATCGCTGGTGAAATTAGGTTATAACGGGTGCATACATCTTAATGAGTACCAAAATTCCGTTAAAGGATTCAGTCACCTGTAAAAAGAGCTTTTGTTATCAAAAATACACATATATATTACATTTTCCTTCGTAGAATCTTTTGCTTGCTGGGGTACTGCAGTGGTTTTGGTAGCAGGTTTAACCTTCGGTTGCTCTGATTGAATTTCTTTTTCTGGTTCAGGTGCCGCCTTTTCTGTGGGTGCATTCAAATATTCAGTGAGACGAGTAATGAGATCTTGCTTCTTTCCCGATACATTCAGCTTATACTCCATGAGAAGTTTTTTGAGCTCAGGTACTGTCATTGTTTTCAAATCGTTGACTGCAACAGGCATGATTGCTTCTTCTGAAAACAAATACTAAACATAACTATGCACTACTTAGATATTTTATGATAGCTGAGTGGGGACCGATCGTTTGAATAAAGAGTGACAACTGAGTCTTTAGCAGACCAACGGAAACAACGTGATGCATGATTGATTGAAACTCAAAAAGACGCTCAGCCTCGGGTCAAGGCTTACAATTAAGACAATTATCTCACGATTTGTCAAAAAAAACTATCACTTGAAAAACATCAAGAGTCTAAATTAGCGGCAAATTAAAAATTTACGCTCGCAAAAACAACTTCCGAACGAAACCGCAGCGTAGCACGCGATCGCTACTCGCAGTTATGCCGGGTCCTTACGTACAGAAAAGCAAAAACAGCTATAAAGGATTGTAATTTATTATTTAAAGAAGATCCAACAGTAGCAACGTATGGAAAAACTTCAAGGATATTCTTCAAATTTCTTTAATGGAAATCTGAGCCAGTCGGTCATATTTGGAAGTTTGACCTTGCGAAATACGGACAGCGTAATTTTGGGGTGAAATGTAATTTTTCAAAAATTTGAATTGAGCATATCATGCTCAATGAGAAACCATCTAGCTGACCCAAACGTTCAGTTAAGCACATGGGAAAAACTGCATGAAAGAGTTAGTCGAAAAATTCGTGCCTTTAATTAAGATACGCAGCAGTGGCAACCAAATGCCACTAGCAAGGGCGGTGCGCATGAAGATAAAAGAAAAAAAGAAAGCCTGGAAAACATTCAAAAATTATCAAACAGCCGACAATTTAACCAAATATAAAACCAAACGAAATGAAGTTAGATCTGCCACGCGATCGGAGGCACTCACACGTGAAAAAGAAATATCATCAGAAGTTAAAACTAATCCGAAAAAGTTCTGGAAATACGTGCGCCAAAAAACTACCATAAGAGAAGCAATCCCCGCTTTAATAAAACCAAATGGTATGCTAACTGACACAGGCGACGAAAAGGCAGAAGTGCTCTCAAACTTCTTTGCATCGGTTTTCACTGACGAACCCCCGGGTAACTGGGAGATCAGCCCTCCACCAACCGCCAGCATTGATGACAACCTGGAGCTAACAATGAATGACATCCGAGAAGAACTCAATCGGTTAGACACTTCAAAGTCGCCGGGACCGATGGAATTCATCCTAGGGTCCTATTTGAATTAGGAGAATTCATCTTAAAACCACTTTTGATTATTTTCCAAACCTCTTGGGAGACAAACAAATTACCCGAAGACTGGAAGTTGGCTAACATTTCTGCAATATTTAAAAAAGGTAAAAAATCGATGGCAGATAACTACAGACCAATCAGTTTAACAGGTAATTGATGACTTCACCTGAAAGTAATTGATGACTTCACCAGGGCAATGGACAAACATGAAAATGTCGACGTGATATACTTGGACTTCAAAAAAGCCTTCGATTCGATACCACACAAAAGACTAATCGGAGTTCTTAGACAGTATGGAGTAACTGGAAGTACCTTGAACTGGATAACAGACTTTCTTTTGGGACGACAACAGAGAATGGTAATCAACGATTCAAGATCCTCATGGCAACCAGTAAAAATTGAGATACCCTAGGGTTCAGTACTCGGCCCAGTACTGTTTTTGATAAACATCAACACAATGCCGGACAAAATAGCGTCAAAAATATATCTGTTTGCTGACGATGCGAAATTATACCGTCAAATTGAAGACAAATCGGATGTAACACGCATACATGAAGATTTACAATCACTGAAAACTTGGTCAGGCTAAAATCTTTTGTCCTTTACTATCGACAAATGTGTTCACATGACAATAGGAAACAAGAAATTGGATATGGAGAGGATTTATAAAATCAATGGCGAAAACATTAAAGAAGTGCAACTAGAAAAAGCCCTGGGTATCTGGCTTGACAACAAACTGACATTCGAAACACACATCACTAAAAAAGCCAATAAGGCAAACGGCATGATAGCAGTAATTAAGAAAAGCTTCGCTAAAGTCACGAAACAAGTATTTTTAAACATCTACAAATGCTTGATACGGCCACACCTTGAATTTGCGAACTTAATCTGGCACCCAAGACTAATCAAGCATCAAAAGATCTTAGAAAACGTACAAAGAAGAGCGACGCGTCTAGTTAGTGGTATGAAAAATCTATCCTATTACGAACGCCTTAAAGAACTGAAGCTATCATCGCTGGAATACAGAAGGAAAAGAGGGCTAATGATAGAAATGTATACAATCTGCTATGGTTTGTATGATAGGAATGCCACTGCGGGACTATTCGAGCGGAAGGATAGGGATTCTAGCGGTAACGCTTGTAAAGTAGTAGTACGTAAAGCAAATCTAGAAATGCGAAAAAAATTTCTTCACGATTAGAGCACGTTCGAGGTAGAAAAACACAAGAGATAGTGTTCCTGACTCTTGAGCCAATGGTTATAGGGCCTATTTTTCTTTAACCTCATATGTGACTTAAGTAGGCGACTGTTACATAGTGTTTTCATGGCGCTCCTGGGTGTTTTTACGAAATCATGACTACGGAGTCGAACCCACTTGACACAGCTCCGGGCTACATGCCCATTCTAGAGTACCGGTAGTACGGTTCAGCGGCAATGTGTAAACCTTCCGGTCGTACCGTGATAGCTTTTTAAGAAAACTCGAGAAAACTTCTTGGTACGCTCTCCGAACAAGACCTAGCTAGTCGAGTAAGGGGAGGTAACTAGGGGGACTAAAAACCAAGCAAAAAGACAAAAAGCGAAACAAAAACCAAAAAAGAATAGAAAAAGGAACAAAAACCATACTACAAAAAAATGACATTGACTTTGACACCAGATTAGTTGGATCAAACCTTTATATTAATTAAATAGTATACCCAATGTGTTTTCTGTTTTCATAAGACCCATCGTTTCGATTGTTTCAGCAATTTAAAAAGATGCCGCCCGAGTGTGGGGCGTTGTCAAGGGTTTTCCGATAGCTTGCAATTTAGCTCGACCACTAGGAGACTTGACTGGAAACGGTGACCAGCCAAGTAGGAAAGTGGTTCACAATAAGGGAACCCGACAAGGGGACATCCAGCACCGACGGGACCGAACAGAGAAGGCTCACAGGGGTGTTTTGTTTGATCAATCTACGAACCACTGGACTGGACTGGAACAGGTGACCAGCCAAGTGGGAAAGTGGTGCTGGAGAGAGGTGCTGGACGAGCCAAGGAGACAACCAGCACAGAATCAGAACAACCAGAGGGGGACACACAGAGGTGATCTGGTTGGTCAATCGGGTATCGTTAGAATCCACATTACATTATAGGAGATAAGTGTAAATTGGATTAGCGGAACCCCACCGTTTTGGGGAACGTTTTTACTTGAGCAGAGCTTGGAAACAGGTTCTACGGTTTTCTCTCGAGAGGTTTAGCACCCAGCGCATAAGGTAATTTTCGGCTTATTAGGGGGGCTAAAAAGGGGGGAGGTTAGAAGGGGGGCTGGTTAGGTTAGAGGTTGCCAATTGTAAAAAGGGGGGACACGTTATAGTAACTAATCAATCGATATCGTCGATTTAGTCACATTATGATCTTACACGCGTGAGTTATAGAGAGAGGATATCCAAATTTAAGATCGAATTCAGGTAGGTAATCTGGTCGGATCGGGTGGGGGAACGGAGATAGACAGTTTTTGAAACCCGGAATGACAATACCCCAAAATAACCTTAAGAGGGGGAGGAAAACGCGTGACAATCAGGTACCAGACATTTTTTCTACGAAAGAGCGACATTGGACACCTCTGATTTTAGGTGGGTTCATCTTTCTGTTTTTATAATTTTTCTCGTTATTGTTTTTACGTTTTCGGTACTAATTTTATCGGTTTTTGAGCCAACAGGTGATCACAACACACCGGCGAACAAGTTGAGTTTCACCTTGCATCAGATTAATAAAGGGAGATAATTCAGGGGGGTTAGCATTTGAAACCTTTGGCCAGTAAGGTTGGGTTTTGGGAAATCTTGTATATTAGAGCTCAAGTGATGGTACCAGGGATAGTGGTTCAAGAGTCCCAAAAACGAAAAAGAAGAGATCAGTTTGTCCCAACACTAAGGAACAAGGGGTCTTGGGAACGTGTGTGTCCCAACACTGAAGTGACGAGTTCCTGGGACAGTACGAAGAAGTCTTGGGACGGTACCGAGAAGTCTGAGGACAGTGCCGAACAGTCTTGGGACAGTTCCAGAAAGTCTTGGGACAGAGCGGAAAAGTCTTGGGACAGTACCAAGAAGTCTTGGGACAGAGCGGAAAAGTATTGAGACAGTACCAGGGGTTTTGGGACAGTACCAGAAAGTCCTGAGGAGAGAGCGGAAAAGTCTTGGGAAGTACCAGGAAGTCTTGGGACAGAGTGGAAAAGTCTTGGGACAGTACCAGGAAGTCTAGGGACAGAGCGAAAAAGTCTTGGGAGAGTACCAGGAAGTCTTGGGACAGAGCGGAAAAGTCTTGGGACAAAACCAGGAAGTCTTGGGACAGAGTGAAAAAGTCTTGGGACAGAGCGGAAAAGTCTAGGGACAGTACCAGGAAGTCCTGGGACAGAGTGAAAAAGTTTTGGCACAGTACCAGGAAGGCTTGGGACAGAGTGAAAAAGTCTTGGGACAGTACCAGGAAGTCTTGGGACAGAGCGGAAAAGTCTTGGGACAAAACCAGAAAGTCTTGGGACGGAGCGGAAAAGTCCTGGGACAGGACCAGAAAGTCTTGGGACAGAGCGGCAAAGTCTTGGGACAGTACCAGAAAGTCTTGGGACAGAGCGGAAAAGTCTTGAGACAGTACCAGGAAGTCTTGGGACAGAGCGGAAAAGTCTTGGGACAGTACCAGGAAGTCTTGGGACAGAGCGGAAAAGTCTTGGGACAAAACCAGGAAGTCTTGGGACAGAGTGAAAAAGTCTTGGGACAGAGCGGAAAAGTCTAGGGACAGTACCAGGAAGTCCTGGGACAGAGTGAAAAAGTTTTGGCACAGTACCAGGAAGGCTTGGGAC